CCCCCGCAGGGCCCGCGCTCCTCGCGGCGGACGGCTTGTATTTATTATTAATTATTAATTATTATTAATTATTATCATTACACGGTTCACGCAGTTTTTAGGTATCTCCGTTAGGGTTTTCTAATTTTATTTTTAAAGGCACAAACTATAGCTCTTAGTTGAATGTTGCCAGGTATGCTTTCTCTTTTTCCGTGTCTTTCTACAACTGTGTTCTGTGACTCAACTGTATAGTGTTAATATCAGTACAGACTTGTCTAGTTGACCGTATAAATAATGTTTTCCCTTCTCGTAGTCTCTATGGCGTGTCTTTATGGAGAAATAAGGTTCTCACGGGTTCGGTTCCCTTTGCGTTTAGAGAGACCAGGTTCAGGCAATTATATATATTTTTGTTATCGGTTGCATGTCGTCTCATTTTTATATATTTTTTTTTTTCCTACCTGTTGGAATATGTTTGTGAGCATAATCGTCATAAATTATGTTCAGGGTTTTCAAATTTTATTTATATGTGGTTAAAATGAATGCTTCTATTTAAAGGGGGAAATATTTCTACATGTGCATATAGTTTTCCAAGAGTGTACCATTAATTGATTGTTGATAATAAAACCCAAAAGCAAATATAGCACCCTAGCTCTTCTGACTTCTTGTCAGGGCTTTGTTGGGGGGGGGGAAGGGGCTTGTGGTTTGGGTTTGTTGTTGGTTTTGTTTTCTGACAAAGATTGGAGGCGAACATCGTAGAATCCGGACTGAATCATCAAAAGGAGATGGGCTTGGCAGCATTATTTTTAATCTGCGTTATCGTCAGGAAGACCATAACTGCGGTCCCCATCATTACTGCCTAATTGTGCCGTTATTAGTTCTTTGCAAACAGGCTGTTGGGCGGGGGGGAAGATGCGTCAGATGTGACCTTTTGTCTCTACCTTGAAAACTGGAGATGGCCGATATTAAGCGGTACCCATTAAAAGAATTAAAAAAGAAGAAGAAGAAGAAGAAGAAGAAATATGG